TAATATATCGCAATAGTGTAATGGATTAATTGATTGAATGTTGTTTTACGCACCGGCTGCGACTGACCCAAGTCGATAAAAAATAGGAAGAAACTGTTCCTTCGTCAAGCGCTCGGCACTTTGGAGTGAAAGTTGCGGGTCTTTCGTATGAGACCTTTAAAACCGAGGTCCCTTGTCACGGGAAGCGTTGGCACGATAGAGAACCCTCACTGCTCAATGGCCCTGAGTGCCGAGTAACGGTCTAAATTTGAAGCCCTTCAGCGGTACATGGTGACGTCTCTATACGAGTGAAAAATTCTCGAATGGGACGTAAAAACACACAATCAATCAATCTTTTGTAGTATGATATGGATAAAAGGTCGAATTAAAGACTGTTTTGTATACTGTATACACCTAATTGAAGTCTGTTGCACTCGCGCATGCGAGCTCATCCTATATAAAAGTGTTTTGAGTTTTATTTTATAAATAATTTATGTTCGGTTGAACTGGTGAATTTTGAACATAAAACGTGCAAGTTTTGTCGTGCAAGGTTTGATATGGTAATTGCTTCCTCAAACCAAGAATGTTTTATTCCGACAGGGCTATATCTTACGTAATGCTATAGTAACTAAAAATTGTATTATTTTCATTTTATTTGAAAGTGGTATGATTTATTCTAACAGATGAAGTGTTATTCCAAACACGTTATACTTTGGACAACCAATTTAAATATTTTGTTGTATGCAAGCAAAAAAAAAAAAAAGAAAAAGAAACTTTACTCTTAAGATAATGACCAAGTCATTGCAGAGTACGGTGTATAAGTGAGTACATGTGCCTGACCATGTACAGCGCGTAATATTCCGCGTGAGAGTCTATCAGTGACATGCTCATTTTCTTTGAGTTTTGTTTAATGCAACTTCAGACAAAATTAGACAAATCTGTACAAAAAACAAAATCTAGACAAAAATTAGAAAGCAGGACAGAAAGTGTAAACAAAATCAATAAGAAACTAATATAACAAGATACGTAAATCTATATATTCACCACTCCAGAATTCTCCGATTTCAAACCATTGTAAATATTCTCAAAGTAATTTAAAATAAATCAGCGGAAAGAAAGAAACTAACGCTTACTTTATCTAACATCTTGATTATGTGATTGATCCAAATAAAAACCAAACATAACAAAAATATTTACTAAATTTTTAGTTGAGTGTAACAGAAATTTTCATTTTCAATTGTAAACAAAGTTATTCTTATCAGTTTTGAAGCGGTAAATTCAAATGGAGAAAGTTACAAAGCATATAATTGAAAACAGAATTCGTAAATCAAATTGCAAATGACAATTAAGATTTAAACAGTCAAATTACGATTCATTTTTAAACACAGACTTCACAAAATAAAACAAGAAATTATAAAAAGAAATTTAAAATGTATCCATGACAAAGAAATTACGATTTAAAAGGAATTGTAAATAACAAAGAAAAAAAAATAACTGTTAAAAATATAAAATACATTCAAAATTTAATTCAATTTCTAAATATTCTTTGAGAAAGAAATTAAATAGAATAATTCTCAAAAAATGATTTAGCTTACCTGATTGGAACAAATCAAAAGTTTAAAAATTTAAGTTTATTCTTAGAAAGCAAGACAGAAAGTGAATTTGTTTAAACTACTTTCTATCCAGCATAATTCCAGACGTACATGACTTGACCAATCGAGTTGCACGGAGCAAAAATTATTTACCTATTCGGGTTATCTTTGATGTATGACACCATTTGTTCAGAAGTCTGATATATTTAATTACGCTAATTACGCGGAGACTTTTTATAACAAAGAACGGATTAACTTTAGCAGAAACAAAACAAGTTTATCTTCGAGAAATTTTGACGTATCATAACTAATTGCCGAAAAAGAGTAACTTCTAAAGAGCCGAAGCTGGAAACCGAAAGAATTTATCTATTTGTACACCCGATGTCAGAATAGTTTGATCATAATTGATACATTGATTGGTGACAAAGAAAGTGTTATTGATTTTTTTTGATGTTGGGAAATTTTTATAAAAACACTTTAAAGAAGAGAAACAAATAATTAAAGGAAGAATAAGGAAGAATTACTCAATTTTTTTCTCTTACATGAAAAGTTTAACTAACATGCTTGTGGAAAATTTTCATTTAAAATAAAAATATTGATTAAAAATATGACTTTAAACTTGTATAACCTAGATAGTTTTGAATTTCTTAAATTGCAAAACTTTAATGTAACACTGTCTTGGAGGTGACCGAGCAATCATTACTTTTATGATTCCAATATACATATCCAATTATTGTTATAAATCCTTGATTAATAAATCCTTGTAACTATTGTAATTCTCAATCCAATAACTAATTTATTTACATATATACATTGTGGAGGCAAAGCACAAAAGAAAGATGTTACGTTTTTGCTAGCAAATGTACTGTCTAAATCCTAGTAAAGCACTCCCGACATCGGAAAATTTCACACTTATTATATACGAATCTTAGCTCCAATAAATGATTAATTGAAACATTAGCTCCAATCTATTAATGTACTAACACCAACTCGACATACATCTTTCTTAAACTGTCATAGCTCTAACTTGACCTTAACTCAATACATGTACATGGCTCCCAGTTCTACGAACAAAGCTCCCATTACTCCACTAATTAAAAATTCATTCTAGAAATTGCTCTTCTTTTAATTACCCTAACACAGCTTGAATAGTCTGTTCAACACGACCTTAAGCATGTAACTCTGAATTTTTGACCATAAATCACTTCTTAACTGATGAACCTAAAATTACTACTTAACATTCCTTCCCCTCCTTTTAAGTAACTCCTCAGTTAACAACTACTGTAACATAATATTAACACTAAAACTTCCATGATGAGTACGTTATGTAAACATTTATCAAAAAGAACTAATCTACTAAAACAAAAAATATACGTTAAAATCAATTGCAGTCTCCTTAAACCCATCTTAATCTTTTTCTTAAATCAATATCTTCCCATAAGCATCTCTTCATCACTTGCTTAAGTAACAAACACTAACATTTAACAACCTATTAACCACTAGACATATATTAACACAGTGTACTATCGGTAATACAATTTCTAATATGTTATTTAGCTGTCCATGATATCACAAAGTTAAATTATTTATAGAAAATATTAATCCAAAACAAATACTACTAATTCAAATAGTCCAAAGCTGAGACACGAAACGATATCTCAAATTTCCAGGTGTTCTGTCACTTCATTTATAATATTCGTTGCAATTTCGGAAAAGTAAATTTCTTCTGGTATAAGTCCACTGTTACTAGTGAGTCTCTCTCTCCATAGATTGATGGCCATCTGCATACGTATATTGATATCGTTTTAATAGTAAATTTATACACATTAATACCACATTTTTTGTGGGAAAAACTCGTCCTTGGTTTCCTCTGCTTCCTCTTCCCGCTCAAGGTCTTCTGAACTTTCAGGGTTTTCAAAATCAGAAATATCTTCTTCTCCATGGTCGGTATTAACTTCAAGGGACTCTACTTCTTCTGCTGGATTTCTAAGGGTTTCCATCGTTTCTTCTAATGATGTTAATAACAGGTTGCTCACAGGAGAATTATTGAAAAATTACCCAGTTTTCTTCTTCATCGGAAATGTCAGAGTACAGATCAAGAGTAATTGTCACGAACACTGGCTCATGCTCATTGTAGTAACTATGGTTCTTCTTCATGCGCTGTGTTTAAGCATATTTCCTTACAAAGACTTTACCGTAGGTCGTCAGAGGGCACTGATGATCATAATGTCCATTCGAATGACGTTCTCTTTTGTGTCTGTACAAATTTCGTCTATGTCTAAATTCTCTGTTACAAAGTTAACAATAGTTCTTTGAATAATCCATAATATTAGGTTGAGTGTTCTCCAAGAAAGCAAGAAAGCGTTTTCTTTCCAATGCCCAATATAGAGACATGGACTGACAAATGTCAAATTCCAAAATTGTGTTTTGGGAGCACTACACAATGAAACTTTGAGCAATCCAAATGGTCTTGGAACACTGGTCATCTTATTATGCAAGTCACGGTCCCTGTCAAATTTATCTGTATCCCCATTATCTCCATCTCCCGAACTAACAATATTCACAATCATAATCCTAGCAATTCTCACACTTCTTCACTGTGTCACTAATTATTTTCTTCTTTGTATTCAGCACCTCAACCTTTATAATTTCCTTCAAATTCCTCGATTAAATTTCCTAGAACAAGTGAAGAATTGTTTTCATCTTGTTGATAACACTCTTCATTTTCATCACCAGAATCCCTTTCCTTGTTAGATTGGTCTTCATTTAATCGCAGATTGGGTGGTAAATCTTCAGGATCAACAAATGCCTTTATTCTACTTGCATGCACAATCATTCAACTTTGAAATTCACAGGAGAGGTTTTATCTACTATGCGATGAGGTCCATTCCATGGATGTATTAATTTGTGAGTAAGACCTTGCTTTGTCACAGGCAAGTAAATCCACACTCTATCTCCTATACTAAATTCTGGCTCCCTTGCATTCTTGACCTGTCTGATGTTGTTTTTGTTGAGCAAGTTCTCTGTTACTTTTCACTAAGTTGAGGGCGTCGTTTAATCGATGTAATATAACATTTTTGTAGTCATCCACATCAGTTTATCTACCAGTTGGTTCCCATAATGCCACGTCAATTTGTAGTCGAGCATTCCTTCCATAAACTTAATAAAATGGTGTTTTCTGAATAATTTCCTTGCTTCTTGTCCTATAGCAAATAACGCATATGGATTAAACACATCTCAGTCCATCTTCGCTAGCCAAGGGTCCACTCCGCTCCCCATAAACCCTTGGCAGATTTCATTACAAAAATACGGTGATGCGGTGGCGCTATCTAGCGACTAACTAGAGTTGCGCCCCTTGAAATTTCATTTTCTTATCCAATGAAATAATGGGTTACATACACGCTACGGCAAAACAACAAAAGTGAAAACATGTTGAATGACGAATCACGGAAAAGAGTTTACGACACTTTCAAAGTAAAATTACGAGAAAACCAAGAGAAAGCAATTAATGCTGTGTTATTAAATCGCGATGTGTTCGTTGGGACCCGCACCGGGAGTGGAAAATCGCTGGTATATGAAAGCATTCCTATCATAAAACCAGGTATCGTCGTCATTGTAGCACCTCTCTTGTCAATAATGAGGGAACAAGTTGAGAAATTGAACAACTTTGGACTTGCTGCCACTTACATTGGGAAAAACGTTGAGGAAAATAAAAAAATAGAGGCGGGGCAATACGATTTCGTTTTTAGTAGCCCCGAAAGACTGATTGTTGAGAGGCGGTGGAGAGATATGTTCAAGTCAGAGGAGTATAGGAGGCGGCTACAGTTGTTAGTCGTGGATGAGGCCCATACAGTAACACTTTGGTATCTCATAATGATTTTTATTTCTTTTATAATGTGTAGTTTAGTGTACAAATGATATCAATGCATGTATAACATGTATAATGAAGGAAATGTAGCTAGTACATCATGTCTATAAAGGCAAGTACAGTCTTAGTAGCATGTACCTCAGTCCTCATGTAGTCCTATCAGAATCAAACAGTTGGGACACTAACTCTATTTAGCCACAGGAGTCGGCAGTTTTATCCATAAAACAACGTAAACAACAACCAGTGAGCTTCGCGAGCGTAGCGAGCGCTTCGCTCGCTACGCTCGCGAAGCTCACTGGTTGTTGTTTACGTTGTTTTAAGGATAAAACTTCGCTCGCGAAGCTCACTGGTTGTTGTTTACGTTGTTTTATGGATAAAACTGCTGACTCCTGTGATTTAGCTCAATAGATTCATTGTTATGATTAAAAGGTCAATTGCTTTAATAATAGTTTTCAAACATGCATATATGCATCAACATGCTTATCTAACAGCACTGGTTGATTTTAGCATATACATTAGGAATTAGTTCACAAAAGTATTAAGTTTGTGCCTTCCTGATTACTTATATCTTGTATCACGTTGATTAAGGTCCTGTTTAATCGAAAGTCCCAGCTATACTTTTTATTATGATGTTGATGATCTCACCTTGGATTATCGTAAATTTCTTATGACAGAGCAAAGAAGTATTTGAAATTATTAAACACCATATACATGTATTTTAAGAATCTTGCATGTCATGGAGTTTATACATATACTTCTTAATTCTAATTAGCATAATAATTTTTTCAGGGGAGAGGAAAGGACAGATGAAGATCCTTTCAGGGAGTGGTTTTCAAAGATTCAGGAGCTGCGATCTTTGTGCCCAAATGTTCCTGTCCTTGCTCTTACTGCAACTGCTGGACCAACTCGGAGGAGGAAAATTTTAAAATGTCTATGCTTTCGACCAGGTTATGAACTTGTTCTTGATTCGCCTGATAGGAGAAACATTAAGACTGTGAAACCCATTAAAAATAATGATACTATAGACAACGTTTTTGATTGGCTTATTAAAGACTTGACAACCCAGAGAACAGTTACCAAGACATGTGGTCTTTTGTAATAGTATAAGTGACGTTACAAAGATTTATTTTGCATTAATTAAAAACTGCAGACAAAATAGATCAAACTTTGAAATGTTTCATAGTAAAACTGATGACGAAATCAAAAACAAAATTAGAGAAGATATGGCTACTGAAGGTCACATTAGAATACTTATTTGTACTAATGCAGCCGGAATGGGTATCAACATCCACCAAGTACATAATGTTGTGCACTATGGGATACCCAGGGAGTTGGAGACTTTTGTGCAACAAATGGGTAGAGGTGGGAGGGATGGAAAACCTTCACATGAACTTGTATTGTTTAAGGCACATAAAGGTTACTTAAAACATGTTGAACCAGAACTTGTTCGAATTGTCAAAGATAACAGTGTATGTCGAAGAAATATATTATGCAATGCTTTTCAGACTAAACATTATGAACTAACACCTTTACATGCATGTTGTGATGTGTGTGAGAAAAAGTGTAAATGCCAATTGGATACCTGCCCAGAATCGCATGTTGCCATGAAAGATGATGATGAAGGAGGATCTTCCGGAGATGAGATGGAGCGAAATGTTTCAGTTGAAGAAAGACGTCTTCTGACACAGAAGTTGGAATCCTTACAGTTTACATTGTCTGACAGATCAAGCGGTGGGCTTCTTAATTCAGAATTAGTCCATGGATTTACAAAGGAACTAGTGAAAGATATGGTCTCTAAATGTCATGTTTTGTTTACTGCAGAAGACATTATGCAAAAATTCCCTATTTGGTCTTTCTGTATAGCTCAGGAGATTTGTAAAATAATACTTGATGTATTTGGAGACGAAACAATGTACAATTTAGTAGACAGTGATAGTTCCACATCAGAAAATTGACTGTTGAAAAAAAAAAAATACTAATATTGCAGAACAGTGCAACTATAAAGTCATGTATGAACATCTTTTCATTTTTCAGTTCAAGCATTACATTTTATAAACTGTTTTTTCCACATTGAGACTCCTTTTATTATTATTATAATTTTTTTTTTGCTTTTTGATATTGTCAATAAAATTATGCCTCAAATTAAAGTTTTCAAACTGAACAAAATATTCTAGGTATTGAAAAAAGTGTTTTAGATATTTAAAGTTTTGCACATCTATATATTAGATGTTTGAAAACAATTAAAGAAAATAGAGAGCTAACAATAATAGAAAGTTTAAAATGAAGGTGGAAAACAGACCTAACGAAGAATGGAGTGATAAACAGGCCTACCAGGCCCCAGGATCATGAAACAGACTTAGAAATAAGTCAAATTTTTAATCGCCTGTAAAATGTTTATTGCTTAATAATTATTGAATTCAACATCAAAATTTGCAAATTACAATAATTTTGTGAATCTTATATTGAAACATATTTTAATTTTGAGTTGCATGACTTCCACAACATTTAAGTATAATATAAAAATTTGGACTTGAGGTTAAGATGTTTCATGATCCCGGGGGGCAGATCTGTAAAAACCAAAATATCTTCAGATCAACTTTATAATATTTATTGGTAACAAAGAGAGAGAGAGAGAAAAAAAATATTGATGACCTTGTGCAATGATAGACATTAAAATTTATTCACTTTGACCTTGTAACACCACATCTTCCATTGTTTTTATTCTTTGACCAATTTTAAGGTTCACTGACCTTTGATAAGGGAGACAACTCTCATTGGGATGATAACTATTAAACTTTTCTATATAAACTTTAAAAAGGTCATTTAAGTCTTTTGCAGTATGAGGTTTGCTAAAGTTGTGTTTTTAATGGAAGATATCTTTTGGAAAATCATTAGCTCAAAGCTTAAACTATGTGAACTATTAAAGCTTAATCATATGACCAACTTCCTCAATTAAAAAAAAAAATCATGTTCATATTTTTTAAATAAAGGTTTAGACTTCAAATACAGGGTAATAGCTTTCAAACAAGCATATGCATATATCCACTCCCTCTAATGTAGAAATGACACTGTAATAAATATCGAACAGGTTCTTTAAAATGCTAGCAATAAAATAACAGTAACAATGCTCAGGTCAACAAATAATCTTGATTACATTTCTAACTGAGCACTTCGTAAGACAGTCTCTCTCTATTTTCTGTAATCCAGGCATGCAAATCTACAACTTTATAGCGAGAGAAAAAGTCAATAAAACCTGGGAAATTAACAAATTCTCTACTAGGAATGTAGTCGAACATTTTGGCATTGTTCAGTTCAGTCACCATTTCCAAAATGTCTGAGATTTTATTTGCTACAGGTCTTCTTGATTCTGATTTTTTCTTATTGCATTGTGTTTGCAAATTCTCTTTAATTTCTTCTTGAATTTGAGATGTGAGTGCAGCTTTCTGAACACTGGCATATGTTGCATTGGCTCCTTGAGAGTAAATTTTTTTCTTCACAGTTTGGACCATAATTTCTAGTAAATTATCATTTGGAATGTTCTTTCCCATACCCCCTTGCAAATTTGCAGAGCAATTCCACTGATACTCATAGGCCATTTTTGGTGATAAGATGCAATTGATGTAGGCCAAATACCTAAACAGCCATAACTGATACTTGTTGTGTTTTCCAACACGGGGGAGAAGCATCTGAAATTTCGCATTGGTTGTCACTCTGTTCCCATCTCCCATTTTATATGCGTCATTTGTGTCTCGAAGAAGCAATGCACAAACTTTAAAGCAATATCTGAGCAAAAGAGATTAAATTTTGATTCTATGTCAATTATTAATTTCAGGTACTCAAACTTCAGAAAGTTGAAATAATTATATTTAAAATATATCGTATATCCAGTATTAAATTGAAGTAATCGATTTAAGTCTACATGAGAAAATAAAATTTAGTGTGACATTGTGCAGGACTGATAATTCAAAATCAGTAGAGCCTTGTTTAAGGAGCTTATATCAGATAAAAAGTGTTGTGAGTAGGGTTAATAAATGTTAACCACTAGATTTTTTTCTTACATCATCAGTAGCTCCACCATGGTCAAGAATCTGGCCTGTGACATGTTGGAAAGCAGACATATGTGTGTTGCTGGATTTCAGCAGTACACATGAAGCTACAATGGCTCCCATGGCATTTTTATTTGTTAATGTTGTCATGCACTGGTGAAATAAAGGTGCCCACAACTTTATTTCTTCATTCACTTTATCAAAACTAAATGTAGCCAGACTTTTGCTATCTTTTTGTCTAAGCAAAGAACAGTTAATAATTCATGTCAGTTTCCCAATTTCTTCCTTTAGTTCTTTAATAATTTGGTTGTTGATTCCTTCTTTTAGAGGTGAATTGTAGATAGCCCGAGCTGTTCTCTTTGGTGCATTGTGGATGGTTAAACCTCTGACAATTTCACTTAATTGACAATCTTTTACCAGTTTTGTTCTTACTTTCATTGTTTTCTTTGTTTTGTACACAACCTGTAAAATCATGATAGATTATATTGAGAAAAAGAAGTGGATATTTTTTTTTGCTAGCATTTTTAGCTGACACATGGAGCTTAAAAATGTAGTTATATATATATATATATATATATATATATATATATATATATACATCAATGATACACTTTAATAATCATAATATATTCAATTTTTAAATTCATAAGTTTTTATATGAAAAATGATGTTTTAATTCGTTTACATTTTAAAAAAATCAATTATAAAACAGATTTTTTTTCTTTATATGGCCAAAATAAAGAAAAAAAATAATTAATTCATCTCTTTGTGCAACATGTAATGACAAAAAGGTATGAAGATCTATGTCCATATCTAATATGTGTTATATAATACCATAAGTTTACCTTCAGTTTACTAGGTGTGAAGGACTTAATGGTGATTTGTTTTTGAGTGTCAATGGAAGTAGCTTTCTCTGTAAGAAAGTGAAGTCTGAGCACATCTTTCTGATCTGTTGTTTTTTGTTGTTTACCTGGTGGATTTACTTGTGGATTATTGATTTGCATAGCCAGGCACTCCTCTGTTTGTTCCGTTTTCCGGGGGGTTGAAAACAAAGATTTTTTTTTGTCTTTCTGGGTGTTGGCGAATGCACTATGGTTCTTTTATCTTGTGTCTTTGGAGTTCTAATTATATTCGTGTTTCTCCCTAAGAAATTCCCAAGACCTCATTTTTTTCCCTTCTTAGAGAGTCCATTTTATGTATCAAATCCATGTCAATTTTGTACAGTTTATTAAGCTTCGTAAAGCAAAATCCACAGACATATTTGGAAAGACCATCGTTGGGGGAGGCACTATAATCGAGGACTTGTGTCAATTGGTTAAAAACACCGAAAGTTTCTCCAAAAATCACGCGTCTGTGCTTCTTTGGAAGTTCGCAACAGCATACACGACAAACTTCCATGGGCGCAGCCATATTTGTTTACAAGAGCTTGATACAAACGCTGCGAGTGGATCAGCTTATCGTAGCTGTAGCCAATCATAGAACAGATCGTATCACCGTATTTTCGTAATGAAATCTGCCAAGGGTTTATGGGGAGCGGAGTGGACCGAAAACCCTTGGCTAGCGAAGATGATCTCAGTCTCGCTGATCATCATTTACAAACACTGACAGCATAGCTGTAGAAAATACAGACACTTTTACTCCGAATCAAGCATACAGCTCAGACTACAATGTCTTTTCCTCATTGAAGTCGCAGTTCCAAGAGCAATGACCACAGAGAAAAAATCTACACCAAATCAAGTATGGGAAAACATACTAGTAGGTACATGAAACTGGACCAGATCAAACATACTGTATCATTTTACCAAATCCGATCAGAGCTATCAGTTTGAGGACCGATTATACTACAATAGGCTCGAATAACTATCCCACAAAACCGCTGAAAAAGAACATTAGAACTTGCACATGCGTCACACCAAGGAGTCCTTAAATCATAGTCTCTTTGACGAGACAATAAAACAAGAAAATATATTATTCTCACCAAAAAAATATTTTGATTTTGGTCAGATTTTGGTCTCGCGCGAAACGTAAAACAACATACAATCAAAGTTTACTGTAGTAAACCACCTGAAAATTACAATTTAACTTATCTTTGTCACTCGTTATTTGACATGTGTTGCATTTCTAGCGCGGGCAATATGCGCAAGTCCTAGGGCCAACTTTAATTTTTTTTTTCTTTTACAGAATAACGGACTTGCGATTGGTCAGACTCTAAACTTTTTTAAACTTCAAAGAAACATTTTATTCAATAATTCCGATTCCGATGTTTTCTCACCTATTAAAAGCTATTTTTTATCTTCATTTTCGCAACTGATTAAAACAAATTCCTTCCTACATACCCATTTTTTTTTAACTTAGTAGTCTAGTCCAGAATTTGCTATTTTTACATTCTCATGAGAGAAATGACTTTTGCATCATTAAGTTTTCAAAATGAGTCATAGTTCATTTTCTTTTTCCCCTCATGGAAGTATAAGAAATGTGTACAAAAACTCCGCTTACAATTATGTTGGGTTCTCTATCCTTAGAACAGATTGACAATTTCTGTAGGATAACAGCACCTGCCAGTGCATCATGGGCAATATATAATACTTGGAGCATGTCAATGTAATACCTGCCAATAACCAAGTCTTTTACTTGTAGCAGGTACGTTCAGGTAGTTTTTTTAAATAAGTGCACAAAACCATCAAAATTTATTGATACACCACGTTTTTTGAAAATTGTTTGACAGAACCACAGTATGAAATGATCCGCAGTTTGTGAACCACCAATAAAGGGTCTGGAATTGACCCATGCTGAAAATTGTTCAGTTCATCCTTGGCTGACACAGTAACCACAAAAAGCCGTTTTTATACATCTGGTTGTTCATGATGTCTTCAGAAGACTTAGAAGTAGATATCTTCTGTCTGGAATCG